GCGCAATTAATTCCCAACAAACTCCTTGCCACACAATGCAAGAGATCCAAGGCAAACCAAACCTTGGCTCCTATGAGATAAGTACTAGTGCGGAATACACCTTCCACCTCCTCAATCCAACACGAACTCAGAACCCTGGCAGTCCTCCCACTATCCCTAGGAGGCTGATATACAACTATGTCAGTAGATAACGTGAAGGACTCATACATCCCCTCACCAATTAGCTCATCACCAGAGCCTGAACCAAAACCTGAACCTTCTCCGTCCATGCTCATCGCCATTATGAAAAGAATTCATACAGATGATCCAAACATACCAAAATAATCCTCATCCCACCGACTTCCTAGATTCTCTGTGACTCTCCACTAGTCGAGTATGGATCATGTGATTTCAGTAGTACAGGCCCAATACTACCTTCTACACCTATCAATACTTTCCTCAAGAATCGTCATGAATCCTCCAAGTCACCTTCTTAAAATGATACTCCAAATACCCGTTAAGCAACGCAACTAACCCACTAAAGCACTTCCTAGGCTTTCCTAGGTTCCCGACTCCACCCTGCCATCAGTTGTTGGAGAACTCCCAATAATGTCAGCTAGCTACCTCATGAATATAATCACATGCCACAAAGCTTAGATAATCCTTCGAGTAAAAGACTTAACCCTACAACGGTTGGACTCAGACAAGAGTTGTGCAATAGGGTCAAATCAATCACTCTTATATTATTTAACCATTGCAACATGTGAATTAACATATTCACTTAATAATTAATTCACATAACTAAGAATTCCCTAAAGTACAAAGCAAGCAACATTCGAGCAATAACACTTCAAACCACAAGCCAACAAGAGGACATCTCAAGCTCACTTACTACCAATAAATATTTCAAATCTAAAACATTATTCAATTCCTCTTAGGCTACAAGGCATCACATATCAGGCCAATCCCTACAATCATCTAAAAATCCATACTAGCATGCAGTTCTAAAAGCTCAAACAATCAGTCATATAAAGGCATCTCTCCTAGCATAAAATCCTGAGCAGATCCCTATCCCTAATCTAGCATGCAATTCCCATATCATATACATAACAAACATGTATGGGTATTCTGGGAATCACTTACTCGAGCTTGGCTGATTGCACGCACCACCCTTTCTTTTATTAGAAAATCCTTTAATAAAACATTTATTTTATGAAAAAATCTACCAAACCCTCAGTTTGAGTTCAGACACACCCGAGAGTATGACCGGATCCCTCAAACCAAGGCTTTAATACCAACTTGTAACGTCCAAAATATTATAAGGTAAAATTTTCATTTTTAGTTCAACCATAAACACCATTTAATCATTTCAATCATTTAAAATTATATCAGAGTAAAATAGTTATCAGCGTACAATTTCGAAAATCATAGAGTGCGGAAACATGGGTGGATGCGTTGCGATCAAGTCGGCCCTTCCCTCGCAAACCGGGATTACCTGAAAAACATTTTAAACATAAACTGTAAGCACGAAGCTTAGTAAGTTCCCCAAAATACTGCATACCATACATATCTGTCAGCTTAAGGCTCTGTCGAGTCTATTTCACCCCTGGGTCTATTTTACCCCCGAGTCTATTTGAACTCATGCGTCGGCCCAAGGCCGTACCGGGTCTACTTTACCCTCGAGTCTATTTCAACTTATGTGTCAGCACAAGGCTATACCGGGTCTATTTCACCCTACATACATATAGCAAACAGGCACATAGGCATATAACACATACAACAGGAGTGAAAAAGACTACAAGTACATAACATATCCTAGTGTCCTATAGTATAGTGAGAAAACTCACCTCAGTCTGCTGACAATCCTACAGATGCTCGAGCTACTAGACCAGAGAATCCCTGCGCTAACCAATTAAATACAATCATGATCAATAATTAGGTCATAACCATAATCGGGACTTAATTCACTAATCCCGACTCCTAGGGTAAAAGACTATTTTACCCTTCCCCTCAACTGGCCCAAAGACCAAGGCATAAACTCAATGGGACTAAAAGCCCAATAACCAGCCCAAATCTAAAAGACACCCAAGGCCTAATACAGGCCCAATTCCATAAAGGCCCAACCAAAAGCCTAAAATATCAACTATCCATCCCCACGTTGTGATCAGTCCTTGGTCACGTCGTGAGATCTCACTCGATCCGATTCCAACTCATCCTGACTCTACTCAGTCAACTCGGACATGAAAAGTCACCGGAGCTGATCTCACGTCATGAGAACCCATTTCTCACGTCGTGAGAATAGTCTGAAGCCAAAAGTCCAACTTTTAAGTCCTTAATCTATTAAGCCTTGAACTCAAACTTTCCAAAAGGTCTTATAACTCCATAATGCACTGGAAAGTCAATGCTTTTAATACATATAGGTCCAATACATGTCTAGATCTCATTTGGGTCAAAAGTTGAAGAAAAGACATCAAAATTTCATGCAAGGTTCCAAAAAAATCAACCATTCACTAGATCTGAACTCCATTCCATCTTACTCTTAAGACCCTAATAACACATAAAGTTGTTAACTTTATAGTTTCCATTCATCAAACTTGCACAACCAAAAGGAAAAGTGGGACAAAACCTAGATCTAGCCTCATAGAACAATAAAGGATGAATCTTTGATACTTACAATGGTCCAGAAACAATGTATGATGATGATAATGATGATGATGATGATGATGATGATGATTCCTTGCAAGCCTCAACAGAAGATCACCTTCTTCTTCTTCTTTTCTCCTTCTTCCAAGCCAAGAAAAGCTCCAAAATGACAAAAGATCAAGCAATGATAATGACTAGGGTTTTTCTAAGGTAAAAGAGGGTTTGGTGCTGATAAGAAACCCTAAAATGAGTTTAGAGATGCTTAAATATAAAGGAAACCCTAAAATGATCATGGGCTTGGGCTGCATCATCTCTCATGTCGTGATCTCTATGTCTCACGTCTTGAGAACATTCCCGAACAAACATTTTCATCTAGCCCATTTTCACGTCGTGAGCCTCCACTTTCACGTCGTGAGGATTCTTTTCTTACAAAATCCAACCTTTTGACTCCTTGAAACCCTAATTCGACTCATCCTGGAAAACGGGTGTTACATAAAACTAGTATTTAACACTTAAAATACTTCTTTTGTTTAATATATCCAAAAATTATAATAAAATACAAAACAAAATCTTGTTATTTAAAATAGCCCTTATTAATGCTTCTCATTTCGTTTGGTTACAACTTTTCCACGAATAGTCGCCACGTCGTGTACAATAGACAACGACGTTGTGGGATCAACTTCCTTTGTGTGCCCTCCAAAAATTCCAACGTGTACTTCTCTAACAAATTTATCAGGTAAAAACTCTCCACCACGACATGACAAGCATGTGGCCACGCCTTGGGACTTCAAATTCCTCAAAATGTTGACTTTTGTTGACTCAATCCATCAATCTTGTTCCCATCTCCGTATTTCCGCTCCTTTTATCTCGAGCATGACTTTTCTGCTACAAAATAGAATTTTAACATAATAAGTACATTTTACCTTTAATTTAAGATTAAATGTAGCTAAAAAAATGAAATGTCCCATAATAATGTATGAAATCATTGGGTCTTAAGGGCATTTAGCCCATAAGTTGACGAGGCAAATGAGTTATTCTTAGTTGAAAAGAAAGAGGAACATGATTGTTTACTTGTGGAAAAGTTGTAACCAAAGAAAATGAGAAGCACTAATAAGTGTTATTTTAAAAATAGGGAAGTGCTTCGTACACAATATTTTTTCTCCATACACAACAATTTATGTTTTATAAAGGTGTACAATACAACACTTTAATATACAAATGGTTGTGTATGAAAAAAAATTGTGTACGAATGAGTTTTCTTTTAAATAAAAAGATTTTGTTTTGTATTTTATTATATTTTTTTTGATATATTAAATAAAAGAAGTTTTTTAGATGTTAAATACTAATTTTAATAATTAAAATAAAGAAAAAATGGGATTTTCTAAGATATGTGCTAACTACACATAAAAAACATTAATTATGAAAATATTACTATAACTAAATATGAAATGCATTAATTATATGGAATAGTCTTTATAATTAATGCATTTCATATTTTTTAATTAGAAATTTTCTATATAATTAATACATTTTACATTTAATTATATATTTTATTATGATAATATTTTTCATAATTAATATTTCTTATATATATGTCCTTAGAGCAAGTCTTAGAAAATCTCAACCTAGAAGTTAAATAAACTCAAAATTAATTATCTTTATTATTAGGATGTGACAGTCATACCCTATTCGTATTCAAGGAAATTATTTGTGTTGGCTCAACATATTTGACTCCTCTTCTCCAACAAGCAAACTTCATCGCCATATATTGTCATCTCTTTAGAGAAGAAAGGCTTTGACAATTTATAGAAAACACATATACTATAGTCGAACCCCACAAAGTACCTTCTAAATTTCCCTCAAAGACCTTTAATTAAAGCCTTCTAAGCTTGTGGTCTCACGTGTATACAAACATCTTTCTTTTCCTGAATTCCCTCCTTATAATATGTTCTTTCTTTAGCTTGTAACAGTTATATATTACACTCCATTCTTTTATTTATCTTTTCTGAACACTATATATTAAAGCATATTTAAATTTCACAAGGATTTCAAAGATTATAGTGATCATAATTAAGTTTAGTATTCGGTTAATCTTTTTTAAAGTTCCTGATCGAACGGACATAAGTTACTCCACTGGGCAACGAGAACAAAATGAAACGACATGCATGAGTGACACGTGGACCTCAGGTTCACGTTTTCCGTCATTTTAGCGTCTCCTCCGTCACCAATCCCGCTCTCATATATAAGTAGTCATCGACTCGCACTGCATGCTCTCAAAACGTTTTTCCTCAATACACACACAGAGATACATTTAGAGAGAGAGAGAGTAATTAGGTTTTGATCGATCGATCTGTGTGCGCGATTATCGTAATAAGACAATGGAGAATTTGCCTGAATCGTTGTATGTGGATCCGAAAGGTGGTTCTAGCTCTAATTCCGCCCCAAAGAACACCGCCAGACCACAACCACAACAGTTCTCGGCGTCTGATCGTGCTGAAATTCAGCAGTTGATCAACTTGCTTAACCACCCTCAGACAAGAGCTGAGGCGATTACGCAGCTCAACAGGGTGTACACGAGGCACAAGGTATTCATTTCTCTACATATATAGCTCGATGCATATCTGTTTGTGTGTTTGTGTGTGTGTTTTGGATCGAGGATTTGGTGATTCAATTTTTCCTACAGATCAGCGTTAGTGATTTGCATGTTTACATTTTATGCTGAATTTGAACTTTGATCAGATTATCTGATGCTGATCGGATCGAATTTATGAAATCAAATCTGCTGTTAAATCGTATATGATGAACCGATTGCTTGTTTCTCACTTTTAGATGATCAAATTTGCATAATCGTACTTCATTTATTTGTGTGTTTGATCGACATGCAAAATCCTTGTATTGATTTTCCCATTTAGATGAAATACTTATTTGTTCAAAAACTGTTTTCTCCCCAATCTACTGTTCTTATAGCGTCGAAATTGGTATTGATTGTACTATTATTCATTGACTTAGGCTCGAAACCATTTTAATCAATTGATAATTCTAATTTTTTGGGGGGAAAATTGATTTCATGATGAAAAAGTTACTTGAAATTAAAAGGTGGTGAGAGTTTTCCGATCACTTTATAAGTCGTCGGCGACGCCACACCGGTCTTGTGAGATCAGATCACATTCAAATGATGAGAAAGACTTTGTTGTTTAGCAATGTTTGTTAGATTTTCAGTTGAATTTTTGGGAATTTTTCAACTAACTGAGTATATATAATGTGAATTTTGTTTTTTTCTTATTCAATGTTTGTGATAAATTATATTAAAATATTATTATTTTTATACACAATTTACCAATCACAACAATATTTCGTTTTCCGAAAACAACAATAATTATTTTAAAAAGTTCGTTTTCGGAACTGCTGTAAAAAAAAATTCTTCCACATTTAGAAAATCAACCTTTACATTTCTTTATTTACCACAATAATCTCCAAAACAAATTGATAGCAAAAATGCGGTGAAGGTGGATCGAACACCTGACCTTCAGATCTTCAGTCTGACGCTCTCCCAACTGAGCTATCCCCGCTGTTGATGCAAACAAACATGAACGTCATCTAATATAGCTTTAAAACTTCCTTTCAAGAAATACAAATTTATATATAATAGATTAGTGATTTTGATTTGATATATATTGTTTTCTACTTATATATAATAGATTTGTTACATAAGGTTCGTTATGTTTATCCTTCTTAATATAGGGAAAAGGAGGTCGTGAGCTAGGGTTGCTACTATGGAATTCAAGAGACACAATCTTTTCATTGTTAGAGGTATACTTAACCTCATAAAATAAAGTGGATCGATCATATAAATAAATTTGAGATTAATTTAAAGCTATACAGCATTAATAAACATTACTAAATAGAATTGTACAATAGAAAGCTCTCTATAATTCTTTGCCATTTTCAGGAACTTTTGGGGGTGTACAAGTTGTTGTCGCCTCCTAAGCTTGGTATGGGGGAAGCTACAAGAGTTTGTAATGCACTTGCCTTGCTTCAGGTAACTATTACTGAATATTAATTTATTTTCTTATTGAAATATTTTTTTTTCAATTCTTGTTAATTATATTATATGATTTATATCTAGTTCGTTCTACTCTACAATGTGTATGTGTGGTTGTTGTGGCATGGGAAGAAGGGGGAGAAAAAAGCAACACTAAAATCAAAAATATGAACTTAACCAAAGCGAATATATCAAATGCTCTCTAACTGATACGGTTTGAATTTGGAAATGGAATACGTATTAGAAATTTACAAAAATATATAAGATTTAGTTATTTTGGATATTAGGAAATTATGAAAATTGTTTTTGGTGGGTCATTCACATGTTGCAAAATACTATTGTGTGTGAGTCTTAAAAGACACCAAGAATTTTTTAAGTGCTCCTATATTGGTCAACAAATACAACAATTATGACATGTGTTGCAAAAGTGATCATTGGTGACTATTTGCAAAGGTCATAGTTAAGCAAGCAATCAAAGAAAGAAGAAAAATGATACAAAGAATTTATGTGGTTCGATCGATGTGACATGCGTTCATGGGTAGGAACCGAAGAGTTCTTATTTATTACTCGACTGTTTATAAAATGAATCTTATAATCACTAGTTACGAATATTTATAATCGAAAAACCCTAACAACTATTGAGTCAGACCACATATAAGAAATTTTGGAATGACAAAATAGGTCCTGGTATAGCAACAAATAAGAAAATCTAGAGTGTGGTTTTAAGTCTAAATGTCATCAACCTACTTCATATACACTGATACTTCAAACACTTGTAAAAAGCAAATTTGTAAATGAATGCATATTTGTACAAACATATTTAAAAATAATAATAATAATAACTTATAATGTCTTTTAAAAAACAAATTTGTAAAAGCAAAATATTTATTAAAAAAATGTTGTAACCAAACAATGGAAAATAGGTTTGTGAAATAAAGTTATAAAAAGAAGTTAGGCAAAGTTGTTAAAAAAAATGTTGTAACCAAACACAATTTTTAAAAGTTTGGGAAATTTCGTAAAAAACAAAAATGTTTGTATGAATGTTCAATCACAATGTTATGGTTTTAAAATATAAAAAATGACTTTATATATATATATATATATATATATATATATATATATATATATATATATATATATATATATATATATATTCAACACGCTACATTTAGTTTATATTTTGATTTTTCTAGGTTGGTTTATAATAGAAACTAGTTTTTTAAAAAGGTTATTCATACTAATATTTCAACAAGCTTGATAGAACTTTTTTAAAATTGAGCAAATGTCATAAAAACCCTTATGTTTGTAAGTTTTTGTCGGTTTTACTCAAAATCATATTTTAGGTTCATTAATGTCTCGGATTTACAACTCTTTTTTTTCCGGTAAAACTGAAAATTTATGTCAAACTTAAAGGTTTTAATGAAACAGAAAACTAAACTTAAAGGCTTTTATGAACCAGAAAAAATGATAAAATCGAACATTTCTGTCAAACGTAAAGACTTTTAAAAATCAAAGAATAAAATTGAGAAAAAAAAAAACTAAATTAACACTTGGTTTTAATGAATCTAAAATCTACAAAATGGTAAAAGTGACAAGAAGTTGAAAACGTAAGGGTGTTTATGTCATCATCCTTTTATAATTTTCTTAAATATACCATTTGTAAATTATATTAAAAAATATAAGGAAATCTCCAGAAAAATCTTAAAATTTTACCCTAATTTACGAAAAAAGTCTCAAACTAAATTTTGTTTACGAAAAAGCATGAAGTACAGGTAAAAATCGCGATTTGACCCATTTTTTCCGGTTTACCGGTTTTATTACTTACCTGTTTCACTAAAGTCCCATTATTTTACTCTAATTTGCGAATAAGTCTCAAAATAAAATTTACTGACGATTTGGCCATTTTCTTCATGTAACATACATTTTATCGGTTTCAGTGATGACTTAGCCACCTAGTCATTAAATTAGTTGATAAGATGGATACGATGGATTATATAATGCTACATTTACTGTAAATTTTGATATCCATCTCATCGGCTCATTTATTACTATGTATCTACGTCAACAATGAAACCAATAAAATGTGTGTTTCAAAGAAAAAATGGCAGAAAATGAGTTGATGTTTGATGAGATGGATATATTGGGTTACATAAGATTAGATAAACAATTTGATATTTCTCATTATATAACTCAACATATTCATCTCATCATCTCATTTAATGACTAGGCGTCCGGGTCAACAATGAAACCGATAAAATGTATGTTACATAGAGAAAATGGTCAAATCATCAGTAAATTTTATTTTGGGACTTATTCGCAAATTAGGGTAAAATAATTGGACTTTAGTGAAACATGTAAGTAATAAAACCGGTAAACCGGAAAAAATGGTCAAATCGCGATTTTTACCAGTAATTCATGTTTTTTTGTAAACAAAAATTAGTTTGGGACTTTTTTTTAAATTAGGGTAAAATTTTAGGATTTTTTGGAGATTTCCCTATAATTTTACATATATCAGCTGATTTATCAACTAGATTTATCAAATGTCATCTTTTATCGGCTATCAAATACTATATTTTTAACTAATTCGTCAAACAGTTATATATTAGTATTGTAATCTATATTTGGTTTATTATCTAGACTACACAAATACTATGTTGGATTTTATATTGCTTGCAATTATGTTTTATAATTTTTAACTTAGTATAATTTTGATGCTTCTTATAGTGCGTTGCAACTCATCCCGATACAAGACTCGAACTTCTCAAAGGTATTTTACATATTCTTTTAAATACTTATATTTTTTGAGGGCTAATCTTATAAAATGTCTTATATTTTGTGTTTTTTTCAGATTAATCAAATTTTATTTTATTTATCTGAAGAAAAAAAATCTTGTATTTTTTCATTTTATTAGATCTGGCAATTTTAGTCTTTTTTTTTTCGAAAAAAACTTATAAAATGGAAGGATTTCTTATGATATTAACCATTTTTTTATCGAGTTGAAATTATATATATTGTTAATTTATCCAAAAAAAAAATCCTAATTTAATATTATTGTATATATTAATTGCAGCCCATATACCTGTATACATATACCCTTTTCTCAACACCACTGAGAAACAACTTGTGCACTATGATTACTTGCGAGTTAACAGCTTAGGTGTCATTGGGGCCCTTCTCAAGGTACTTACTTACTAACAATATGATTTACTCTTAATAAAACAATCATTTTAATATTTTTTGGTAAAATTATACTATGTGTTTTAATTTTAAACAGGAGCAATGCCCAAAAACTGATGAAATCGTTCATTATCTTTTGCAAAGTGAAATGGTTCCTTTGTGCCTCCGTTGCATGGACGTGGGTAGCGACCTCACAAAATCCGTAAGTTCAATTTTAATTATAATTATATACCTGAAATCTTAAACTAAACGTTTCTTAATTAATTAGTATTATAATTAAATTCACATTTCACGAACAATACATACATACAGGTTGCAGCATTTGTGATTGGTAAGATTTTAGGTGAACCAGAAGGAAAGACCTACTGTGGGACATTTGCAGAGAGATTTTTTTCAGTGTCGAGGGCTTTGTCAAAAATGGTGGATGAGTTTTCTGGAAAGCCGTCACCCGCGTTGTTGAAGAATACGCTAATTTGCTACCTGCGACTCTCCGAAATATCGAGGTTAGTCGGGTAAATGAATCTTCACACTCACTTATTACTACATAACTTAATTTTTTATTATTATTATATATGTAATAAAATGTTGCTTTCAATATTAAATGGCTTTAATTTACACCCACGTGGTAAAAAAAAAATATACAATTGTAGGTGCTGTAATGTGTTGAAGAAACGCTACCCTGAGCGATTGAGGAACCCCGTATACCTCAACCATGTCTGTGTACGTACATCTACGCTCTTAAATTCTGGAATTTGGTTCAATATTTTTTAAAATATTTAAGAAATTAAGCTGTGACTTCTACCTAAAGTAAAGAATATATTATATATTTGTACTTGTTAAGGCCATTAAATGAAAAGAAACGACAATTAAAAGTTGTTTATGTTTTGTAATTTGTAGGATGGAAATACTAGAGCTCTGGCTGAACAGGTGCTACAAAACATCATGGGAAGACAGCAAGTTGAACCTGTACCAGTGGAAGCCTTAGTTTCAGCCACGAGATCCATGCCCTAGCAATTCCAGATTATCATCTTGTTTATATGTGATATGTTACTTTGTGGAATTATATGGTTTCTTCAACTTCAAGACATACATAATAAACTCCTTAGAACCAAGGATTTGAAAATCTATTCATCACTAATTGGACATAAACATACAACAACATCAAATTTCCAAAAAAGTAATAATATTACAATGAGAATAATAGCAACTAAGTAAAGTAACCAAAACAATTGAATCCAAAAAGGAACAAGAAGATTCGTAATAAAAATGCAACTTTCCAACAAACACTGGATCTCACAACTCACAACTCACAACTCACAATCATCTTCCGCTATCTATTTACAGTATTTTTCTTTCTCTATAATCCAACTCAAAAGTTATACAATTACTACAACAAGAGGATTGATTCATACTTCCATTCAACCATACATAAGTGGTCTAAAACACCTAATGCCAATTGCCAAATCTCAAACAGTAAATAAATTACCTGTAATACCAACCAACTTTCCACATTTTTCCATTTCTAGCAACCAACTGAAATTTTTTCTAATTTAGATTGCAACACAATAAAGAATTGGCATAAAAAACTAGCCACTATACTCTTGTCATTCATTAGTCGGTTGCCTAAAATGAAAAAAAAAAATTGGAAAATTGGTTGCTATTACAAGCAATTTAAACCAATTTCAATTGTACAAATGCATCTCACCTTTTTCAGATGAAGATCCTCTTAGCCATGAGAAGGGCCACGATCATCTGTCTTTGAGGGAATTGAAAGCTCACTTTTAAGCATGAAAGACAAATCATGCATTTGTGACAACAACATTTGTACTTCATTTTCAGGACTTGTGTTGGTTGCATTTGGAGTATTATTTCCACCTTCCCCATTCACATTCCTGAATACATAACAATAACACAAACACAAACACAAACTAAATAAATAAAACACCATCATGTACAAAAGATCAAAGTTTTGATAATATGTTTCAAATTGCTTACCTGTTTGTTGTAGATGATTCTGAAAAGAAATCTAATTCTGGGATCTTTTCGCTACTTTGTTTCCATGAATCTGGGAAAGAATCTTGATTACTACTTTGTTTATATGAATCTTGGAAAGAATCTTGATTAGGAGTTGAGCTTGTGAAATCATTCCAATCATCAAAGTCATCATCTTCTTTGGTGTTGACTATATTGGTGGCACTAGAAGGACCAGTTGACCATTGACTTTCTTGAAACCAATCAGTAGAAGTGTCTAAATCTTGTTTCTTTATATTATCAACATCTGAACTTTTATTCTCACTAGAAATCTGAGGAGCAACATTCGATTCATTAATCTGTGGATTAAAATCGCCTTTTTTGAAACCACTGCTATTCTGCCAATTAGCATTTTCAAACCAATCTACAGAAACACTTTCTGTAAATGAATCATTTGGCTTATCCTGTGAATTGTTCACACTACTTTTTTGCCAGTTATTATCACTAAACCAGTCTTGATCAACATCTTTTGAAGATGGATCATTTAGATGACCAGGGAACTCATCTTTTGGTTCAACAACTGAATCCAATTGCTCAGCTTGTTGAAAAGTTGTGGGACCCATGTTGGCGAATAGATCATCTTGAATCCAATCTTTATCTTCATTCGGTTTTATGTTATTTGTCACTTCCATCTGTCCAAAAACTGCATCCATGTGGGCAGATAGATCGGCTTCAGGAACTATAAAAGGGTCAACTGGTTTTGGATTCTCATTCTCCACTTTCGAATCTGCAAACTGGAATTCTGCATTCCAATCCGATGAAGCATCATCATTCACATCAATGGAGGAAGGGAAAGATGTCTCAAAAGCCTGATTTTGATTTTGTTTGCTGGAAACTTGTTGTTCTTCTGATGCATCAGAGGTAATTCGCTCTGTGAAAAAGTTGTCTAAGTTGGTTGTGCCAAGATTTAGAGGACTGGTAAGATCAGAGGCCTTGTTGTTGAAACTATTATCTGGTTTTTTAGGCTCATCACGCCATGAAATCTGCATATCTAGAAGCTCAGATAAAGTAACTATATCTTCTGCAGGACTGTGGCCTCCATGTACTCCATTTCCTTCAGCCAAAGATCCAACTCTTTCCTAAAAGTAATGTAAATAGTTAAACAAATGAGTACATTACAAGTAAATAAGAGGCTCATAGAACAGATCTGAAAACTAGTTAGTTTATAAGGTAGTGATGACATGATTTGAAAGAAAATAAGAAGTTAACTAAGTAATCATCTATGTTATGTTGGATTTCAAAAGTAATGTTGATGAAATTAAAGCAAGTAAAGCGAAAAACCCTAACCGATCCGTGTAAGTTCAAGGATTGAAGTAGCCAGCTATAGCCATTGGTTGAATTGAAGGGGATAGGGTCAGGATGGAGGTCCTTCTTCTGGTGTTCTCCACAGTATATGCAAATCAGTGACTGTAAGCCTCTCAGGAGCTTCCCCTGACAATATTTGCATCTCAGGTACGGCGGAGACGGGTCTAAGGTGGATATAGACGCCTCAACGGTCGGGGGAGACGGTAGGTTTGTGTCGCTCGGGTTGAAGGATGATAGTCCGGCGAGTTCTCGGAACCCGATCTGAGATTGATTGATCAGATCCGTCGGCATGTCGAAGTCCATTATGTAGGCTGATCAATATCTCCGAGTGTGACTATGGTGATTTTGTTCAAAACTGGATGTGACTTTCCTTCTCGTGCTTTCCAGAAGCGGTAGTGGTGGCGGTGGCGGTGGTGGCTGAGAGTAGTATGTCGCCGGAGGAGTTCAGTGATTAGGCCACTTGGCTTGGCTAGGATTTGGATTTTATTTATGGGCCTTTGGTTATTTGGGCCGATCAACTGCTTTTCTCCACCTACATAAAAACTCGCGTTATTTATTATACATTTCTAAAGTTTTCTTGCTAGGAAAAGGAAATAAGTCGTAATTTGATAATGCTTTTCTCCATGTAATTCAACATCAATTAGATAAACATCAACACAAATATAATAGATATATAAAATGAATGTATATTTCAAACCTTGTGTTCTTCAGACATGAATGACAAACCATGTTTATTATGCAAATCAAGACCATCAATAAGCAAATCTAAAAACCACTATAAGCATAATTTAGCATAGTGTTCCACCAAAGTATCCTCAATAAAATGTAATAAATGTTTTATGGTCCTTCTACATGCCTAAGACTAACATATATTCTGAATTTTTTTAATTGCTTCTAATCCGAGTTGAAATCATGTACAACTCTCACTACGCAAGTTGTGCCCAAAAGGGTATTTTCTAAATACCAAATATGTCTTCTGATGAGACTTGAACACGTGATTTTTCATTTAAGATAGTTACTCTTTACCGCTAGGCCAAAAATATTTTCATGTTTGCATTTTGAGATTAGCTAATATATTAACGTAAATTGAAACTAACCTTAAATATGTAACGTTTTTACATCATTATTATTATTAACGATATCATCATAACTAATCCACCAATCTCTTCGATCCGCAACATTTCAAAAAAAAAAAAAAAAAAAAAATCTTAAAACATTAACCGAAACCTGTAAATGTGTGGAATTTGCCGTAAAAAGATCAAAATCAATCACTCCCACTTTTCTCATATAATATAGTTTTCTGTCGGTGATTGAGAGAAGGGATATAACAAATTTAAACAGAAAACAAACCATTTTCTTCTCAATTTGCTTCTGCTTTCCCACTCATCTTCAGTTCCACTGTTACCCATATATACATATACATACCTCTATTGTATATATATAGAAAAAGTGTGTGTGTGTGTGTGTGAGGGAGAGAGAAATAGAGATAGAGGGAGGTAGATGGCATTGAATAGGGCTGGATCGTGTAATCCGGCCGTCGTGAAGATCGGAATTACTTTCTTGGGGCTGTGTTTGGTGGGTTATCTACTAGGTCCACCTTTATACTGGCATGTTCTTGAAGGGTTAGCCGCCGTACGCCGCTCGTCCTCCGCCGCTTCCTGCCCTCCCTGCAATTGCGACTGCGATTCTCAGCCGCTCCTCTCCATTCCTCAAGGTACCTCAATCTCCATTCTTTCACCTTTTTAATAATTGCATCCGATCTATCAAAATTAGAAACACTGATCTTACAATCGCGCCCATTCTGAACTCCATGGATCTCAAAACCCTTCTATCAATTACCTCTAGATCTTACCTACTCCATGACTTTACAGATCAAACTGCTTCTTTCTGAAAGTCTACATCAAATTTGACAACAAGCATCACAATTAGAAAATCTGTTGATGACTAATTAGGAACGAAATCGAAATCAAGATTTGCTTTTAAATATCATATAATTTGACAGTTTCCAGACAAAATCTCCACTGATTGGTGCTCATAAGCATTCGATTTGACTCATTTCATTCAGTTTGCAAGTAGATTTGGAGGAAAAGCTTCTAATTTGGAAAACATCCAAGATTTGATTGTGTGTTTTTTGAATTTGGGGTTATTAATTAGATTGCATAATGCTGATAATTTTTTTATGTTTCTTGCAGCATTAAGCAATGGTTCATTCACAGGTTAGTATCACAATCACATACGAACTACATTTTCTTTTTACTTGAATGGATTTGACCTGAATTGGAATCCAATTCCATTCCAAACTTGTAAGAAATGACTTACACCATTTTAACCTTAAAATTTCAAATTCTAATTCCAATTTAACAGATTGTGCAAAACATGACCCTGAAGTAACTGGAGACACAGAGAAGAATTTCTCAGAGCTTCTATCAGAAGAACTAAAGCTTCGTGAAGCCGAATCTTTAGAAAGTCAACAACATGCTGACATGGCACTTCTTGAAGCCAAAAAGTTAACATCACAGTATCAGAAAGAAGCTGACAAGTGTAATTCAGGAATGGAAACTTGTGAAGAAGCGCGCGAAAAAGCCGAATTGGCTTTATTGTCACAAAAACAACAAACTGAAATGTGGGAATTAAGAGCTCGACAAAAAGGATGGAAGGAAAACGGCAATGCAAGGTCTGTAAACACCATATGAATGATATTCATATCTGAAGAGTGTTTTAGGTCTTTGTTAGATTTATTTATTATTGGGGTTTTGTTATATTTAGGCAACCAACTTGTGCCATTTTTTTTACACTTTTTTAAGTCATGAAAGTTGTAATATGGAGGAATTTGCCACTAAACAACTGTTTTTGGTTTCATCTTGCCATTTGATTTTTTTTTTTTTTTTGTATTTATTTGAATTATATTATGTTTTACTTTTTACTTATTATTAGTAAAAAAAGACACAAAATTTATGATTAGTTTCTTTTTATTTTAGAGTATATTACTGAAATCGTGCCTTTAGTCCCTATTTTTCCCTATTTTTTCTTGGCACTTTTATTCACACCCTCTTATTCAGACCTTTCGATGCTCAAATCCAAAAAAAAAAAAAAAAAAAAAAAACCCTAATCTAATCGGAATTGAGGGGGAATAAGTTTTGCTCAAATCTACAAGAACAAAAATCACGATGCTCAAATCCAAAAAAAAAAAAAAAAAAAAAAAACCCTAATCTAATCAGAATTGAGGGGGAATAAGTTTTGCTCAAATCTACAAGAACAAAAATCAGAAAACTAAGGTCTCGTTTGATAGACATCTTTCCAGATCCAAACAGATCTTTTTGGCTGAATGGACTGGAAATATTGTTTTATTTGCACAAAAAAATGGATCTTTCTCGGTAAGATATGTCTTTCCCAGAAAGCCCTAAAACCATATATTTCTAACTGAATGGACCGGAAAGACAATTGTGCCCCAAACCTCGTCTCTTTCTTTCTTCTCTTCGGCGCCCTTCACCAAACGTGAACCTTCATCTGTTTCACCATATTTTCTTTCTTCTGATTTTCGAGCATAGGATTTAGGAGGACTATTTCATATAAAAAGTGTCAATCAGAAATTCTGATTTTAATATATATTTTGCGTAATTTTGATTTTGTATGACAATTTCTATTTGGATTATTAAATGATTATTGTGTAATTTTGAATTAGTATGACAATTTTATGTTTTTATAATTATTCAGCAACTTCATCCATCACAATATAGCAACTTCATCCATCACAATATAGAAAAACAAGGTAATATGGTCATTTTTCATCATTCATCAACTTCCCTAGTAAAAGGTTTATCAGATGTTTGAAATTCAAAGTTTATCTAACAATAAGTGTAACACACTCATGGTTTAAAACACTCGCGGTGCAATAAGTGTGCAATAAACCGCACAAACCGCATAAACCGCCCGCACCGCACCAAACCGCACCGCATAACGCGGTTTAAAACACTCGCAGTGCGGTTTGCGGTTTGTATTTTTGTTAAACCGCATTATGCGGTGCGGTTTGCGGTTTACGATTACAAAATTGCGGTTTAAACCGCACCACATTGATAAAATCAATTAATGGAGTGACCATATTTTTTGTCTCAAATTCATTTTCAACTAACATTCAATGACCATTATTTTATACACTATGTTTTCTTAACTTATGTATATTCATAAGTAGTTAATGACCACAATTCTATGACCACCAAATTTCTTAATGACCATTTAGTGAGCCGTTAGTGACGACAATGATAGTATTGTCATTAAATTTAATGTAAATAATTACTCAAACCGTAAAACCGCATGTAAACCGCATAAACCGCTCGCACCAAACCGCACCGCATAATGCGGTTTTGAACGTTCGCGGTGCGGTTTGCGGTTTCTAAATAACTCAAACCGCATGTGCGGTGCGGTTTGCGGTTTTGGCTCTAAACCGCACCGCGCACACCCCTAGTTTTCGTTGTATTTTATAGAACAAAAGGAAATATTGTAAATATTTTAGATAAATTAATGAGAAACTTTAACGTCCCAAATTCCAGATTGAATTTTTCATTTTTAATATAATACAAACACCAATTTTAATAAAATTACATTCAAGTCAAACCATGTGTTTATAAACCATTATTCCGAAATCAAAGTTATAATGGAGACAATGCAGAATTCGAATCATAAAATTGTTGATGTGTATGTACAGTCTCGCCTTCACGATCCACTAAATACCTACAAAAATATTTAATCCACATGCAACACAACCATATAAACAATTATGGGTTATCAGCAACCTTGGAGACTATCAGCAGTCCCAGTGGGCTAACAACACATCTTGTGGATTAACAGCACACCTCATGGGTTATCAACAACCATGGGGACTATCAGTAGTCTAGGAGTTATCAACAACTCATTTCACATGTCGTTTAAAAAAACAACTCAATTCACATATAACAACAATCAACAAATAACTGGTCAGCATGTATATACTACCACAAATGCAAATATAGTGAGAAGGCTCACCTCGCAGATAGCAGCTAAACACAACAGCTCTCCCACAGTTCAGACCGGTATTACGAGACACCTAACAACAATAAGGAAGTACCCTCTCAGTCTACACCATAAAACCCTTAAATTGACCAAAAGTCAAACTTGTCAAAAAGTCAATGTTCAATGGTCAAAGTCCACTGCAGCAGGTTGCCACGTCGTTGCCTCCCATTTGCCACGTCGTGACAGAAAAGCGACTAATAGTCGGGCATCCCCCAATCTGTAACGTCCTGAAAATCCAAGGTAAAATTTTCATTTTTAAAACAATAAATCATACAAACGAGTTGTTCCAAAACCGATCAAAATGAATATATGATTTAAACATCAAAGTAATATCATAAATTGCCAATGCGGAAAAACTCTGGGGGATGTTGTGTAGTCACGACGAGCCTTTCCTTTTCGAACCGAAAGTACCTGAAACCATAAATATGAAACCGTAAGCACAAAGCTTAGTGAGTTCCCCAAATACCACATACCAAAACATACAAGTGTCATGGGCTATCCCCATAGTCTTTCCTTGCAGTGTCGAGGGCCAAATCACGGTCTTACATACAAGTGTCAGGGGCCAGATCCTGGTCTTTCAGACAACTTCCAGGAGCCAGATCATGGTCTTTCGTACAATTGCCAGGGGCCAGATCATAGTCTTTCGTACAATTGCCAGCGACCAGATCCTGGTCTTTCGTACAATTGCCAGGGGCCAGATCCTGGTCCTTCATGCAAGCATCACAGAGACAACTAGCATTCCACAAAACAAGTAATAGGCCGACATTGGTACCTTCGACCCATGAATATAGTGAGAAAACTCACCTCACAGACTGACGAAAAGCTGAACTGAGACACTGCTTCGAAATCCTCCCTACCGGTCACCTTTATGAACAACAGTAACCAAAACTCAGACTACCATTCAAATACCTAAAATACCTCTAGGTCAAGAACTAGTCAAAATCCAGGTCAAAGTCAACAAGGTTGACTCAGTCGGTACGCAGGGCGTACTCATCTTATACGCGGGGCGTACCTCGCAGTTAACCGAGGATCGAGGCGCTGACTTTGTACGCTCAGCGTACCCTTCAGTAACCCCTGCGTATGAGGTTGCTTGACAACCTCCTAAATAAGTGCTTAATCCCTTAAGCACCTACGTCCAAACTTCAGATATAGGTCACAATAGATGCACTAAACAATAAAGTTTCCAAATTTATGGTCTAGCATGGCTATTAAGTCCTTAACACCAAAAACCCTAGTCTCTTAACCCATTAAGACCATCTAGCAGTTGCATGGAGGGGAACTAGTGGCCAAGAACCCAACTTTATGACTTAACACCCCATAAAACCTCTGAAAGGACAACTCAAAAGCCTTGGAGTACCTTCTACTCACAAAGACCAAGTTTGGGACAAAAAAAGGAAACAACTTGAGCCAAAAACTAGATCCATGAGATTTCTACATCAAGTTTGAAACTTTTTACCTCCACAAGGTGCACAAGTGGTACAAAATGTTGGATCCAAAGCCTTGAGTGAAACACCACCACTTCAATGCTCTTCCTTCTACTCTAAAAGCTCCAAATGGCACCAAAATGGCTCAATAAGCTTCACAATGCACAAACACTCTTTAGGATTACGAAATGATGAGGGAGGATGAAGGTAAGAAGGTACATGAGGCCATAAATGTGTTTAAAGAGGGTCCAAACCCTAAAATTTAGGGTTTGCACCCTGGCTGCGTACGCCATGCGTACCTGCATATAAGCAGTGTTCTAAGACGCTCCAAATACGAAATGAGGAGGGAGGCTAAAGGTAAGAAGGTGCATGAGGCCATAAATGTGTTTAAAGAGGGTCCAAACCCTAAAATTTAGGGTTTGCACCCTGGCTGCGTACGCCATGCGTACCTTCATATAAGCAGCGTACGAGGGTGTATGCCCCACGTACTCCAGAGGACTTCGGTTTTACGAATTTTCCACCAGAGACTAAACTTGCAAATTAAACATAACTCAATGGTTAAAATGAATACCTGAATTCTAGGTGTTACATCAAACACATCGAACTAAAACCCATAATTCATAAAAGATGTCTGAAACACTGTTTTTCCCATTTTACCCTTTGACTCCAAAGCACAAACTGAACTCTTGGATCACATAATCTACATTACCCACTTCCAAATGGGTCTAAACCTCTCTTTTCCAAAGCCCGAAGCCCTATGATATTTGATCTTCAGTTCACGGACCTGGATTATGAAACGACTTGAAACAAGGTGTTACAACTCTCCACCACTTAAATTAGATTTCGCCCTCGAAATCTCTCCTTGCTACTTTCCAGGTATTCTGATGATTCGACCATATCTTCCAGATCCCTGATAAAAGTCGACCCTAGCATACGATGGCCTTCCAATAATCGAACCCATCCTTGGCAGAACTCATATAGTGACGGCGGATGAATCCTTTCTCCCGCTGACCTTAACTAATAAAGGATAACCATCACTACTCAGCTCAAAACCAGGAATCCAATACCTTATCTCACTTCTCGACATACAAAACCATTCTAAATCACAACCAATATGGCTCCACTTCACAATCTAATCCGAACGAAATCCTTACGACCCTAAATTATCCTGCTAACCAACATTCGCATTTTCGATCTATCCAAGATCTTTTGAACTCTAAGCTGATCTACCAATTATCTGAAGCGCCAGATTCTCGATCGGTCTTTGAAACCGACATCCTTTCAAACGACTGTACCACGAGTCTCTATCAAAGATTTTGTCTGGCAAAGATACCCTAACCTAGTTGTAT